CTATCCAGTGGTCAGACTGGGACCGAGGCGACACTATAGACTGATTGGCCAGCTGAAATTACGCCTACCGCCTCCGATCTATGAGTAGAATGAGCCAGCGCGGGGTTTCCCGCATGCACGATTCATTTTCATGCTGGATGCTGTTGAGTAAACTTCTGTCAGTAGCATGGGGTTGCCGATGTGGGAACAGGAAAAGAGAATAGCTCGCTCTGTGTGTGTGTGTGTGTGTGTGTGTGTGTGTGTGTGTGTGTGTGTGTGTGTGTGTGTGTGTGTGTGTGTGTATGTATGTATGTGTGTGTGTGTGTGTGTGTGTGTGTGTGTGTGTGTATGTATGTGTGTGTGTGTGTGTGTGTGTGTGTGAGTGTGTGTGTGTGCCCGTGCAGCTCTTGCCCCAGCGAGCAGACAGCTGTTCAGGGGAGAAATCAACGTGTGTGTGGCACAAGATTATGAGGACACACACACAGAAAATTAATACAATAATGTGGTTCAGAGTCCCCAAAAGCAACACAGCTCATGTCCGCCTTTGTTTACCTTATAATGAAGGACACCGCTGACTTTCATGCGTATAGGAAACACCGCCCACAGGCTTCGCATTCCAGAAAAGTCCCTCGGATTTATATGTGAACACTACACGGCCAGATCGAGACCAAATTCACACCATCCAGCCCGATCCAGCCCCGTCCGTGCCGACGCTAATGTGTAAGCGCCAAAAATGTACCAGCTAATGTCATAATGCACCTCTTAGCCAATAGCAATGGCAGATTTAAATTCATATAAAGAGCAGAGTTTTTCCTGAAGAGGGCGCAACACTGGCAGTTTTGGGCGGAATATTTAAATGTAAACTAAAATGCACTAAAGTGCCACATTATTGACTACACATGTCTACAGGCTGATTAGACACTCATTTATAGTCTTATCAGCAAAAAAGTTGATTTGGGAGTGACTCTTGCTCTTTAAATAATAGGAGGATGTAAAAAGACTGACAACTTTGGCTATCTCATTAGGCTTTAATGAACAGTAGTAATATTATAAATAACATATTATCAGATAAAGATGAATACTGAAGCTTCATGAGGACAACAGAAATGTTGCGGCCAGTAGAAAACAGATGCAAACGTCTCACCATGGTATACTGGAAGCAAATGAAGACAACAGGGACACATTCTCCAAACACAGGACCCTTCCACAATGATTAGTTAACTTGGTTGGTTCTACCACCTCCCTGTGGACTTGGTGACATTAGCTTGGCTCCCAGATGCTTTTTGCTGACTCACACACTTGCTCTCATAAGCCCCATTGAGCCTTCCTCTTTGTTAGAAACCCTCACTGCTCTGCTTCACATTTATTAAAGAGGGAAATGGGGGGAAGTAAAGGCAACAATGAAAAGTCTCTCAAAGAGCATGACAAGCTTTTTGCAAGAAGAAAAATCGGTGAATGACTAACCTTAGCTACCACAGAAGAACGATTACGTAGCCGATTTGAAAGTAAACCATATTTAGAATCTAAATACTAAAACTACAACTAACACTACTATTTCCGTCAAACCCTTCCTGCAGCATTATTCTTCTTTAATGACTATTCAAGGCCAGAGTGTTGGAGTTTTCCAGGCCATGTGCAGTGAAGGGTAACAGTCCAACTTTCTAGCCAGTTCTTGTGAGCACTTAATCATCTCCGTCTGATGCTTGAAGGAGGTAAAATGCAAAACTGACCTTCATAAAAGACTAAAGTGACTGTTTGGACATTTTGGGAGACATCAGAAAAAGACACAGGTGGCTGTGCTGATTTCACATTGATCTCCAGAAGCACCATCTACCACAGTTTAAGACAGAACCTTGAAATGAATATTTTCTACCAGTAAAAAGTTAAATGAATACTCATACAAAATATTTGTTTCTAAAACTACTTAATTTTTTTTTGAAACAGTCTAAAGGGTAACTAGACAGTTTGTTTGCTTTTAGCACCCCTTAGTGTCCATTTGTAGAACCAAAAGCTGAATCTATCTTCTCGCTGTGCAATAGTGTTTTTAACAGCTAAAACATCTTCTAGCCTTCATTAGTGTCTACAGGAGTAATTCATCACCAAAATAAACAAATCAGCTGTGGTCATGATCTGAAACATGCAGGAAACGTGCTGGAACCAGATTGCAGTGCCAGGTATGTCAGCTCAATTTTTTCTAAGACCAAACAGAGCAGCCCGTGAGTTTGAAGATGCAAGTAAAGTCACTGACACCAGTCATGCTGGGTTCCTTATATAGGAAACTTATTTCTGATTGGCTTAACGAACTGACCTGTATTGGAATGTTTACTATGTGAAGTGCCTTGAGATGACTCTTTCTGTGATTTGGCGCTATATAAATACACTTGAATTGAAATTGTAATATTCTGGCCACAGGGTGATAGGGGCTGGGTGGCCTTTCGTTAACCCTGTGAATGGTCATTTTAGCACACACTGGCTCAAGATAATGATTTAAAATATGGAAAATTTTAAAAATGTCCCTTTGAAATGTTACAACATGAAAACATGTATTTAGAAATATAGTTAAGAAAATTTCCTTTAACACAAAAACAGAAATAAAAGGGTTTAATAAATGTGTTTGTTAATCTTTAACCATTAACTAAGCTTGGCCAAAGCCAAAAAGTGTTTTTTTAATTGTTATCATAATTTAAGCAAACTGCTGGACCTCTACTGTGATGATCATTAATATGCCCAGTCACCTACTTGTTTCCGCATCTGCCATTCATGCAACATTGTATAACCACATTTATTAACAAAGCATTGTTTGATTTTAATTTGTAGAAATGGCAGCAGCAAGTGTTTAACATAAGATAAATGAGACCATGTGATTAACTGAAGATATGTTAATGCCATACATATTAATCAGGACTAACTGTAACATTTTACTCTGCAGAGAAAGATTTTTAATAAGTATTCAAAAAAATATGCTTTTTAACGTGTTAAATTGTTACTAGGCTACTTTTTCTAATTTGTAATTCATTGTCTTGAGCCAGTATGTGCTAAAATGACCCTTTACAGGGTTAATGAAATGTCACTCATACCCCACCGCCTCGTGGCAGGAATACCACACTTGCAACTTTAGAGTACCCAGTCCTGTTTGACTTTATAACATGGAGCTGACATGCCTAGCACTGCAGTCTGGTCCCAGCTCGTTTCCTGCATGTTTTATATTGTTTTATATATTTTATATTGACACAGCTGATTTGTGTGATTTAGTGATGAATAACTCCTGTAGAAACTAATCAAGGCTAAGGAGACATTCCAGCTGTTAGATTAAGGTGTTAAAAAGATGGACGCACAGCGAGGAGCTAACTTTTACTTTCATTTTTATAAGAGACACTAGGGGGTACTAAAAATTGCTCAGTATCCCTTTAAATACTCTGTATTTTATTGACTACAATCAGTGACACATTGCGCACGTTTAATTGTTTTCTATCCATACAATAGGAACGATCAGTAGCAGCTGTTTGGTGGTGGGAATGTGGTGGGATATGCTTTTTTGTGTAACCTAAACAGACTACATGTGACCAGTCCAAGTATTTTTCCAGTGTTGTGTGTAAGAAGGACAAGGTGAGGACTGATTGAAGACACAACTCTCCTTCTGGAGGATACACACTACTGAAAGTCCAAAGCAGGAGAAAAGGTCAACACCTTAGCTTCCTTTCTCTCACAAAGCAGAGAGGAGGTACACCGTCTCATAATGTACACCTTGTACTTTCTGCCAGATTACCCATTACGCCTATTAAAGGTTATCGGAGCAGAAAATAATAACCCCGTATGGCAGCTCTCTGGAAGGGCCCATCTAAATATATATTACCTCTCCACCTGATACGGGTGTCTAGCTCCAAGTATGAGGGAAGCAGATGAGGAGATGTACAACTCTTTGTTGATAAGCTATGTGGGGATGAACATCGGGACAAATTAAGCATGTCTTACCCAGACCTCGGGATGTGGAATTAGCACTTTAGGCATTCTCACAGAGAACTGTTGCACTCATAGCACAATACAGCACTGCTAAATTGGTATCAAAATCTATCAATCCTTTATCTTTACCTGCTTCTCTACGCAAGGTTGCGGGGTGCTGGTGCCTATCTCCAGCAATTTTCAGGCAAACAGGCAGGGTACACCCTGCACAGATTTCCAGTCCATCTCAGGGCAAGACAGAGACACACAGGACAAACAACAAAGCACACACACCTAAGGACAATTTCAGAGAGACCCATCAAGCTGACAGTCATATTGTTGTACTGTGGGAAGAAGCTGGAGTGCCCGGAGAGAACACACACATGCACAGAGAAAACATACATCCATGCAGAAAGACCCCAGGCTGGGATTTGAACCTGGGGCCTTCTTGCTGTAAGCCAGCGGCGCTGACCACTGTTCCACGTTGCAGCCCTCGTATTAAAATCAAATCTTCAATTTGCAATACACTCTTAAGTTCTACACAGCCAACTGCTGAAATGAAGCACAAATAGAAGGGAACGTGACTGCATCAGTCACAAGGAACATTCAGTCTCATGATGCCCAGCATCTTCACCCAAGTTACTCCCTCCCTGTTTTCAATTAATGCTTTCTGAGACACACATAAAAAATTAAATCAAATGAGAACAAAAACAAGTAGCCTTTAGGAAGCTCATCAATCATGGTTTGAGACAAAAGCAAGAGAGAAGGAGGGTGGAGAAGAGGACACTTTGCCAAGCTGCGTCCTTCATCATCCATTATGAGTGGATGAATAGGGGGTCTCTGCAGTCCACATGAGAATGAAAAGAGTGGCTTATGCCAAAAAACAAACCATAGCAGGTTTCAAATAGGGTCACCATGCTATTCACAGGAAAACAATTCAAAAAAGGATCTTCTCAGATGAATGCATTAGAAAATTCTTCTTGTTCCTTTGCACATTCTCATGTGTGTTGCGCTCAAACACTCATGCACAACTTTACATAATCCAGTGTGTGAGCGGACACTACAGCAAGCATCAGCCTTACCTGGATGAGTGACTCGCTCAGTCTTTCCTCGTCTACCTGTAGCACAATGTCACGGATCTCCTCGTAGGGCAGGCGGAAGGAGCCCAGGAAAATAGCTGTTGTAATGCAGGGAGAATAGAGTCAGCTCCTCTGTTTTTCATTACACCACAAGGTTCAAATAAGGCATTGTAGCACTCTTCAGATAAAATGAGCACAAACCTGTACTTCTTACTTGTAAAGAATGTGTCAACCTGACAAAGTCTGGAAAGAAAACCATCCAGACTCAAACACAAGGCGATAAACTGGTTTGTTTGTTTTAAAACTACCAATCCAAAGTAGGAAAACTCTAAAAATATAATTTAATTAAAAAAAAAAAAGATTCTAGCAGGACTGGGCATGTGTTGTCGTGTTTTCTGAAAAGCAACATGTTTTTGTTTGGGTGGATACCAAGAGGCCTGCTGGATTTGCCTCGGGGGGGACGCCTAGTGGGTGTTTCACACTCCAGGTGGGGTGGCTACATTGGAAATTGGAGCTGATGGTGTATCCAGGTGGAAGTCACAGGTGGAGCTTTGGTAATGAGTTGGAGGAGAGTCACTCAACAGCTGCCATATGACTGCAGCAGTGGGACCTGATGTCTGAATCAGACATGAAACAAACAGAAACGTATCACAGTTTCCGTTCTTCGTAGTCTTCATATCTGTGAAACGGCTGAACTGCTTAATGTGTTTGGCAACTTTTTCTAAGAAAAAAAAGAAAAACACAAACTTTGTGTCTTCATTGTATCGTGTTTTACCTAATTAGATGTCATGTTAGTGTTTTGTTTCATCACCAGGCACTTCTTTGTTTGTCTCCTAGTTTAATCCAACCCAACAGTGCCAGAAGGGGAGAAGAGATACAGATGTTGGTTGGTTAGTCCAGTTCCATGTCCTTTATTAAAGAAATTAAACCCTCATGTTCACAGACCAAGTTCAGTCACCAAGCTTTGAGACAAAAAAAGCAGGGTAAAGTATCACAGCAAAACTGCAGCCATCTGTAAACACAGCCTCTTTGACTGTTTCTTCAGTAATTACACTCAGGGATATCACCCTTCTCTTTAACAACACCACGCGACACCAGTTATTCAGTTTTACTGAATACTGTATTTTAAAGTAATTTATTTTAAAAATAAATGAGACAAAACCGCATATCCAATTAGCTGATAAGTGTTGAGTTTGGATGGTGGGCTAACACCAACAACGTGGGCTTTTACGATGAGCGTTTTCTGAAGTCTGCACTGTGCCAAAGTCATTTCTTAGCTTTCTTTTAAAAAGGAAATACAAAATGTGAGCCTTAGAAAAGATAATACTTTCTATGCATTCTTCTCTGGATATTAGCATTCAGAATACTCCAGTCCATGTTCTAACTGCACCGCTGAAGATGACCTGGCACTGCATACAGAGCTCTTCCAGCTGTGTTGTAAGTAATTTAGCCGGTATCATGTATTAGTGTTGACTATTATCGAAAGCTACCCAACCTAACCCAATGTTCAAGTTTCTTTTAATAACAAAAACTTATTTTTAAGCTATCACTGTCTCACTAAACACAGTTAGTGGTGTTGACATTACTGATGGCCTAGATACAAGTCAAACACACGACCGCAGTCTACTGACACTGCTGAGCGAAGGGTTTTAAAGACAGATAGTCACTATTTACCTGCTAGTGGTATGCATAATCATTTTAGCATGATACATCAAGTGTTACTGACACGACAATCACTCATTTTATCCCACTACCCATCCCGGCTACTGAACCTTCACATCAGGATTAAAAAAGAAGCTTGGTGGATTCGGTGGTGAGCAGTGCTGATGATTTATGATGCAGTACTATATGTCAAGGCAGCTCTGGAGAGTGGTGTGGTTGTGTACAACAACATGCATCCCACCCATTTCCTTTGTGAAGGTGAGGTTTTCCATATTTGTATTTAACTTCCTGCCAAGCTCAAACCCCATCTGTCATTGGTGTAATCGGACTAAGCGGTGACACCCATCGGCATTGTCAAATTCATAAAAAACTAAAGTGGCTTCAATTGCAAATGCATACAAAGACATGAATATGTAAATATACACCTTGGTTTGTCATCCTAATGTTAACATGCTCTTTCTAATAACAGGCTAATGTGTGAAAGGAAATTTAGTAGAGACACATTTTAGAATTTAACTTAATCTAAATGTTTATAGCAATCCAGTGATCTTTTAAAAGGAGTAACGCCCACATGATAAACATTGCTGTGTTTGGGGTTTCTGCTGATATTTATGAAATAAAAAGGCCAACAAATAAATGCTTTATGAGCCAACTGTTCTAAACATTTAATTAGCCTCTGCAAATAAGTGAGTCAACTTACAAAGATTCTGAGCAGTCTTGGCGTCCAAGATACGAAGTTCTTTTGTCTTTTTCTTGAACTGCAGGGCTCTGTTATCAGGTTCGTCGTTGACATCTTTTCTTACTGTGAAAAAAAAAATCCAAAACACTTTCAGAACAGCTTATTTGAAACTATGTGATGCTGCAAACTGTAAAACAAGCAAAGTGCTGCTACTCTGCGTGGCAAAAACAATCCTCTCACAACAAAGTACAAACAGTTAAAGGTGGAATATGGAACACAGACACCAAAGTGACATATAGTGTGTAAAGGTTGTAGTTGCAAAAGTAGAACAAAGTTTCCAGACGTTGGGACACCAGGTTCACTGCCGAAACGTGACATGTTTAATTTGGGTCCACCTGTTGAAAGGCTAAACTCACTCTGATTTTAGATCTTTCATGGTCGCTCCTCGTCTGAGAAGCATAACAACGTCTTCTGGGCTCAGAAGCAGCTGCTTGACTTGCCAAGTCCATCATTTTCCACAGTACTAGCCGCGCTACGCAAAGCAGAATGTTTGGCAACCCACAATGATGCCCTCTAAATAAATATTTTATCATTTTTTATTAAAATAAAGCTTTTAAAGGAAATGTTGTACCTTCATTCTGCATGCTTCTAAACATGTATATGGGTCAAACTCATGTCATAGTAGGAATCACCAGTTTTATCTGCTGGTAAACTACATCACACCTGCTTTTGATGTGTCACCTGTTTGCATTTTATTTCTAACCCTCCCTTCTAATATATGTCTGAATTTAATGTATATATATATATATATATATATATATATATATATATATATATATATATATATATATATACATAACGTACATTGGATCAGTTTAGTAAAGTTGTTGTCTTTGTGTTCTATTTGCAAGGATCCGTTATATAGTCATTGCTCAAGTAATCGGACAGATAACAACTTTTACCTCACAAAAAAGACTAAGAAAAAGTATGTCTCTAACCACACAGTAGAAAATTACTCAAGAACAAAGGCAGCACTTGTAAATAATGGACACCACATGTCCGTGCACACAACAAAAGGGCAACAGTCCTAAAGTGGAGTTACAGAACTGTGCAGGGTTTAATTTTTCACAATAAAGAAGCAGAAATATGAGAAGGAAGATTCCTTAGATCCTTCTCTCTCCCCTGATGACTCATGAGAGGCAGCACACTTTGTTGCTAATCATCACAAATGCTCTGTTTAGGCCCAAGGTGGGAGTCTCACAGGAAATCTAGAACAAACAATCTGCTCCCTTAGTGCTGGCTTGCATATTTGAAGAAAGAATCAAAGAGGGAACATCTCCTGGGCACCTAGAAGAAGCAATGCTTAAGGCACTTACCCAAGTCTTCTGTGTGCTGTCAACAGATCACATCAGGGATGCAGTTGTTTACAGTGTTAAGTATTGCTAAACTGCAAGTAAGTTTTAAATAATGCTACACACAGCATCACGGCCTTTAGTTCTTGCAGATTACTAAAACATCCCTAAAGGTGAACAAAAATATAATAAATAAACTCCACACTTCCAACTTAGAAGGCAATATATAAAAGATTTAAACACAATTAGATGTGAAATATAGTTAATCAATGATTGCTGAAACTCAGCCCTTATAGTTAATAATTTATCATAAGAAACATGTGTCATATCACTGTTTTCATTCTTTATGTTGCTGTAAATAACTAACAAATAGATTATGAAATTATAACAACATACAATTTTGGATTTTAATTATAAGAAGGAGTCACATCCTTTGTTACTGATCTTGTGCTAGGTTCATATAATACAGGTCTGGATGGGGGGGGACAGAAACTTCTACAGAGACTCCTTCATTGTAAAACCACTCCCAGTGCATGTGGCCTGAATGCAATCTGTTGCATAATCAAAACTGCATCATCAAAACTGGGTCATCTGAAGTACTATTCTGTTAATGAGTTATCAACAGTCAATGAGAAAGAAGGTATCTTAGAAAGGTCAAGTAAAGAGTGAGATGGAGGCAAGGGCGTCAGTTTGTTTTCAGAATTGCTGGGGACAATAACCATACACTTGAGTGGGGTTTAAAAATTGCTGGGGACAATAAAGTAGGCTAGCACAGGGGTCGGCACCCCGCGGCTCTGGAGCCGTATGCGGCTCCTCCATCCATCTGATGCGGCTCTCTGTACTTTTAAAATAATGAATGGATATTTAAATAAAATGCTTTATATTTTACTGCATTAATTTTACATCTGTATGCCAATTCTAAATGTAAAGATTGTCTGCGTAAACCTGAACAGGTCCAACCCGGTCTTACTGTGAGACCGGGTTGACGCGTCACGCTTGTGCGTAATCATATTTGCTTCTGAGCTGCTTTCTGACCTTCCCCACCTACAAAGTTTAATTACAACAATCAAACGTGACAGAGCCCGGATTTGTATTCTGAACAGTCTAAACATGTTTTAAAAAGAATCGCGTGACAAAAGTGGCACCTGCTCAGTAAAACCACCAACAGGGTGAAAAATATCAAAATATTGTCGGCAGGGACGCGGGCTACAACTTCTGGATCCACTTTATATAAATCGTTTTATTGATTATCGTCTTATGAAAGATAACTGACGTACACGAGCGACCAGGCGCGTTGCAAACTTTTCAAAAGTGTGGGGGATGTTGTCTGTGCCTAAAATAAGTTCATGCTATTCATCTTGTTATTTTAATTTCCATAATAGCGGAGCAGGTGCGAATTTTAGACGCGTCACGCATGTCTCCGTTTTAAACATGTTTAAACTGTTCAGAATCCAAATCCAGGCTCTGTCTCGTTAGATCGGTGCAACTAAAGTTTGTACTGAATGAAACTTTACATTAAACCATGTTGAAGAGAAAAGGATCCGATTAAATCGTTTCCCCCTCATTTACAGTCATGACGTACAGCGCAGTGCGCGTGGCTCTGGGGTTAATCAAGTTTAGTTGTTTCTCTTTGCAACAATCTTCACAGGAAGGCGAAACAGTTAAATGACAGGTTACAGATATTTCCATTTGGCTGTTTATTTTGACGGATAAACTCAAGGATGTTCGTTGATTTCCTCCCACTGAAGCGGTCTGGAAACCCGGTCTCTCTGAGGGATGTGTCACTTGGAAAAATGTTATTTTTATGAAATTATGAAAGTTTGGCTGAACAGCGCTTGTTCCCGTCTCCAATATGGAGACGCATGACGCATCCAGTCGCCTCTTCAGCTCAGAAAGCTCCTGTAGAGACATTTGATCACGCACAAAGTTTATGTGGAGCAGAAGCGGTCGGACCACGGCAGGTGAAACGTTCCTAGCCTACATGAAGTGAAACTGTTTAATTGTAACATTAATGTTACTGGATACGCAGGTCTGGTTGGTTAGACCAGTGTTTGAAGTGGAACACACACACACACACACACACACACACACACACACACACACACACACACACACACACACACACACACACCAGATAAAATAATGCTGATAGCGTGGACTAGAAGACAGGTGATGGTTTACGTATTTAAATGATGATCAGGCTGATGTAAAATGTAATCTCCATCCACATCCAGACACAATTATCCTCTATTCTGTCTCTAGTTGCTCTGCTCTCGTCTGGGCCGATAGCTGACGGAGCGCGCGGCACGCCTAACTAGCGGCTGATGCACATTTTACGCATTTGGAGAGGTGGGCTGGATGCTTTGCGTTTACTGGAAGATGGTCCACTTAACGCACGGGTGTAGACTACATATTAATGACAAATGAATGAAAATTAAATTGGGAGTTTTTACTTCATATTTTAGAAATAAAAATGATGGGGGAACACATTTATGACGTCTTTTTAAACGAAATTTTCTAGCGCGACCTGCCTGCTTCACTAAGTCACTGCTTATTTAGGTCCGTCCAGAATTACCGTGGCCCACCCAAAAATGAAAACCTGGCGCCGCGCCTATTATAAACCTCTGCAAATGGTTGTTCTTCACTTGATCAAACTCAGACTTTGTACAGCTAATGTCAAGATGTAAAATTATTCAGTCGAGCTCTTCCGTCCCTCCCTCTCCTGCTCTCCTGGAAACCCGACATCGGCTGTCAGAAGCGGAGGTGAAGAAGGAGATGAGGCAAACAGAGTGAGTGTGACGTAAAGAAACCAGACTGGTGTGGAGGTGAGCAAAACAGCTGGAAAAGTGTGGGTGTTGAAAGCCCCACGGGTGCGACGCCCATGGTACCGGCTGCTGTCACCTGTTGTGAGCAGCACTCTGCTGTCTGAGGGTAGGCCCCGCCCACAACGATGCGACTGCTGCGGTGTTTTCTTTACTGTGGGAAACGGGTAATAATGGCTCTTTGATGGGAACAGGTTGCCGACCCCTGGTATAAGATCTGAGCTGGTAAAACAAAAATCCTCATCAGCAGGCTTTTTTGAAAGTGGGGGGGGGGGAGAGACACAGCTGCCAATCACAAATTTTGCCGGGGACATGTCCCCGGCGTCCCCGGTTAAAATGACGCCTATGGATGGAGGCCTGTTTCAGAGCAGATTTCAGTTATTTCAATCAAATAAAAGTGAAACACATACATGGTCAGAGCTGTTCTTGTATATTTAGGAACATTTCTAGGCACAAGTACAAGACAGTAAATACCACACAATGCATACAATTGTTTCTATGCAGAGAATATGCAGAGATCTGTGCTTAAGTATGGTGGATGAATGAAGGCCTAGGTCTAAAGATCATAGCCCACATAAGCATTGAGAAGGTCCACCGAGATAAGGTCTAACAAATAAAGTTTGATTCGTTAACTCAGCAGGGAACGTCTACTTCCTGCATCAGCTGGTAAACATCCTAAAGAGTTAGCATATAATGGTTTTCTCTGAAAACTTACCACAATTGCTACACAACTGTGTATTTGCTTTATATTTAGATAAAAAAAATCTTTATATCAAACATTTACTTTTCTCAGTGGCCTGGCGGTAGAGTGTCTGCCCTGGGACTGGGAGATCAGGGTTCATACTCGATTGGGTCATACCAATGACTTAAAAATGGGACCCAATGCCTCCCCACTTGACACACAGCTTTAATGGGGCTGGATTAGGGGTTTTTAAATTGTTCCAGAGCG